AGTATAGAGTTCCTGGGGGTGTAAAGCGATACCTGCTTGGTAAAGGCAGGTGTACCCCAGGGTTCAATTTTAGGTCCCTTATTATTTATCATATCCTTCAACGATATTCCAAAAAGTCTGTCTGTTGCTGGGATATTTTTGTTCGCTGATGACACATAATTGTTTTTTAAGGATAAATGTCGGAAGAACTTGGAGATTTAAGCGTTTATTCAGTCCAATACCGTTCTTCTGTGGGTTTTAGACAACAATCTAATTGTAAATGCAAAAAAGACTAGTTTAGTTGATTTTCAGATTTCACCTCATCTATCCGAGGAAATTAGTTTGCACGTGGATGACGTGGTGGTCAAGTCAAAACATTATGTCAAATTTATAGGCATCTCTATCGATAGGAATCTGAACTATTTCTCTCATACTGATTGTGTGACTGCGAAGTTAGGATCTTCACTACTTGTTCTTCGCAGAGTTTCAAAATTTATGAGCAGAGATGTTTTGCTAACTATATATTTTGCCCTCATATATCCACATTTGTCCTATGCCGTTAGCATTTGGGGATTCGAAAACGTCCACACCAAACAAATCTTTAGGATACAGAAGAAGAGGGCCATCAGAGTCTTAGATCATCTCAGGCCAAAACAATCATCGAGAGTTTTTTTTTCGAAACCGGTCTTCTTACTTTTCAGTGTATTTACATTTTTCATACACAGCTTTTTCTTAAGAAAAACTCTGAACTTTATCAGAATCTTGTACCAAATTCAATATATAAAATACCCCCGCCACAGCAAACCTGCAGTCTAAGCGAATTTCCATTTGTGCCTGATTGGATTTACACTAACATGTCTCCTTAAAAGTATCACATTTATTCCCTATTTAAATATAATTAGTTTTAACAATTACTTAGGTTTGCTGCAAAAGGGTGGTATAAAAGTGTTTTATTTTTTCAAATGTTTATAGTTTAGTAAGATACGAATGCAGTTTCCAAATTTAATCAAAATATGTTCATAAACAAGCAAACTACGACAGTTTACTTATTCTCCAATCTCCGCAAGAATAACATGGGAATTTTAAGTTTTCATTCTTTGGAATTTACTCCGTAACCATTAGGCGCTTCTATATTCTAAATTATTTGTTTTTTTAAGCTCAACAAAATTGTTTGAAAAGAAATCGCTAAATTTAGCGTTTTTTGTGTAAAAAAGGGAAAACCCAATTTTTTACCCTATAAACCCTCGTTCCCATAGTCCGATCATGCTGGTTCGCGAACTCGTTCGAATAAATGTACAGTAGGTTTACACGTTTATACCAAATTTCATAAAAATTGGATCATTTCTTTTTATCGAGTTATCGTGCTAACAGACATATATGTATATATTCTATATATATTTGAACGGATGGTGTTTTTAGCCTCTAGGGACCTTAAAAATGAAAAATATTTCGGTCCCGGGTCCAGGTCTTACCATGAGTACTACGGCGATAGCTCATTCCCTATATGGGAAATTCCCTAACAAGATCTACTAATACTTTGAACATTCCCAGACACAAAACTTCTGCCATTCTTTTGAATGCCCTCCCAAATTACCTTAAGAGTGAAAATTTATACGTTTATACGTTATCATGTTACACTATTTTCCAGAAAATTGATAGGTATTGTTTCTTTTTTTGGATTAGATTACATTTTTACGACGCCGACACACCAAGTCGACCAAGTGCGTATTTTAAAGCGCAATGGCAGCTTTGTTACTAGATCCGCTGATTCTTAATCCAAGATCACACCTAAGCCTAATGGAGAAGGGCCACTGGTCCCAGCTAAAAACCATTAAAATTCGACTTTTCTAAGGATCGAAAAGCAACCTTCTAATTATTACCGGAGACTGAGCTGATTATATCCACTCAGCTACCCAGTTTTTGTGATACAGTGTGTTGGGAGATACAATTTTAATCAGGAATACAATTAATTACAGTATTAAGATTTGCCACAGTGATTTGTGTAGCTTATTGTATTATAAATTATCGATCATTGGGAACGCCTCATAGGTGCGTATTTTACCCAAAATATGAGTGTAGAATGGTGTGAGATGATCGTGCTAAATGTACGTAATATTGAAACAGACAAACAAAACTGGTAGTAAAGGGGGAGTTAGACACTTTAAAGGAAAAACTTTTTGATTTGGAGCCATGGGTTTGGTGAGGGAATATTGTAGAATAGGGGTCCAGAAAAAAGATAACATTCCTTTCAGAGAGCTTCGGGCGATGGTACGGCAAGATCTCCTCTATGGCTATAGTTGGGTATCAATCACATTGACCAACAAATGAAAAAATATCTTTCAGATAAAAAAAAAATATTAAATGCATTAACTGTGAAAATTATATTAGTAGAAATTTGACAGAAAATTAAAGTAAAAACAGGCCTAGATTTTTTACACTGTTTAATTCTAGCTCCATCCTTAATTCGGACTACTATTAGTTTCTTGGTCGTTTCAGGCAGGTGTTTGCTGCTCAAAACTGCACGAATAATTTTCTTGTCCTTATCCAATTAATGACTAATCTGTATGTTTTTCCCCATTTTTCTGATAGACATGGCCGCTAAGGTGCTTTCTTCTCCTAGCCAGTTAATGGCCGTATCGGTCCAGTCTCAGAAAGCTGTCAATGTCTGCAGTCCAGTGTATACTCCTGTATGGTGCGGAAGAGTGGGCAGACGAGCTCAATAAGGAGGTGTATAGGATGACGAGCAGCCTTCAAGAAACCAACCCCCAGAATCAGCGGAGCACGACGTGTCATCCACCGCCCCGCCTGAGAGACCCCTTCTATAGATGACAACCCCAGCAAGATCTTCAAGCAGCACAACACCAGCATGCTATTCTGTGATGCTACGCTGCGACCACTCTCCCGAGCTCATGGACAGGGAGGGGGTAGAAGGTTTAGTGGGTATACTACAGGGCAACCTGTAGGACTCCCACACTCCCCCGGCACGTCGGGCGCTCCAGGAGGTGCGCTCAACGTATCGGGAAGTGCGTAGTGCATTCCACTTAATAAAACAAAAAATGTATAGGCTATAGGATGTGGCTCGCCCGAGTACCAGCGTTAAGGCAGCACTAAGGGTAGCATCCGCCTACCGAACAGTTTCAGAACCCACCGTGTAGGTAGTTGCGGAGTTATCCCCGTCAAACTTTTAGGCGGCGGAGGGTAAAGCGATTTATCAGCGGTTTGGAGAGGACCATGCAAAAACAGAGGAGCGCACCCATACGTTCCGGCTCTAGCAGGAGAAAGGAACAGGAGACGCGGGGAAGCTGGACCAGGGGACTGATTCAGCAAGTACAACCATGAGTTGACCGGCGGTATAGTGAAGTGAATTATTACCTTACCCATTTGCTAACGGGTCATGGGGTTTCCGGTCGTACCTATTCAGGTACTACCAATTCAGGTAGGTACCTACTCCCAACGCGCGCATGGAGCACACCTTCTTCCTCTTCCAGCGTTGGGAAGGGTCCCGCCTGGAGGAAATATATATATAAATTAAAGACATAAATTATCCTTTTATAATAATTATTTTATTTTGACTGACATAAAAAAATATTTTAAAAGGGTACTTTGTTCACTATGTTTTTAATTTTTGTTATATTAGTAGCCCTAAACATGCAAGAAATATATATATATGTATATACTGTATAAGAATTTGGACGGATGGTGTTTTTGGCCTCTAGGGACCTCAAAATGAAAAAGTAATTTAAGCTGCAACGGGGGTGTTTTGATTTTGTTTTCGTCCGTTCTATTTATGGTACAAATCCCAAACACTAACTTATCGACATTTATGGCTATGCCGTGAGGTGCCATGAGACAATTGCTCAAACGAAACACGTGTTGCAACGCTGTCATGTGTACGCAAAGGCTTATCTGAAGCGCGTTGCAACGCTCCCATGTGTACGTAGCCTATAGTTAAAAAAATATAGTTAAAATAAAGTTAATATAAAGTTAATAATATATAAGTTAATTAAAGTTAAATATGGTTAATACAGTTAACAAGCCTATAGTACATTAGTTGTAAAGTGTATTGAGTTTTGCTATAAGATGATGCGATCAATTGCATTTACCAAAGTCAATGATTTCAATTACTTAGCACAACATCATTTTTATACTAAGGCATTGATTTTGAATAGTGCAAGTATGTTCGATATAAGCACTGCCACCTAGCTTTGACTCCAGGCCGCGGCCTTCGAAGTGGCAACGTTGCAAGTAGGGTTGTAACAGCTGTTTTGTTTGGAAGCAGCTAATTGTATTTGTGTATTTACGAAAGCTTGGTTACTGGACTATGAAATATTGACTTTGCTTTAAATGTACAGATATTTATTTAAAATTCTTATTGTTTTGGTTTTCAATTCCGTATGTTTTATTTTCGATATTTTAATAAATTTATGTTCATAAGTTTAAATTACAAACTAATAAAATGCGAATTAATGAGCCAATGTCATCCTATGGGACGTCTGGCACTACTTGTGACGTTGCCAATTGTACCAGGCCGCGGCCTGGAGTTAAAGGTGGCCGTGGATATTAAGGGAGTATTTTTATTCGGTGACATATTTTTATTGGTGACATATCTTTTGTCAAAAATTCTATCTGTATCATAAATAAAAATATAATCAGCGGATTTCACTATGCATAATCATTGCCTTTAAATTACATTATACATTGTATGACCATAGATATAACGTCTATGGTATGGTATTGTGTTTTTTGATACTTTAGTACCACCATAGACTAACCAATTTTTTATCTATGGTGCTACAAATACCCAAGTTCGAAAACATATTTAAACATAGTGTCATAGATTTAGAACGATAAAGTAATTTATTACAGCTTCATGTTTGTTCACCTATGAGAATATATAAGCTTCCATGATGAGGTTTCAATGTCGTAGCGTTGGCAGAACTTCACTATCGGCTGCTAATTTATTGTTGGCTATGGCTACTTTTTTTGTAACTTTATTTGATGTTTACATTAATTATCTCACCTAACCTGTATCCTCTATCTGGGTTTGGAATTTTGGGAATGAGTTACTGTTGTTATTAGTTTTAAAATGTTTTTGTGAGCTTATTTGTTTAACATTTTTGTTTCTTGTTCAAAGTAATCAAGTATAATGTTCTCAAAAGTAATATTTATTAACTTAGTGCTCATTTCACTTTTCTGCTCTGCATTTTGTTTGTATGAAGACCAAATCGGCAAATTCGATTGGTAAGCTAGTTATGGTTAATATATTAGGCCTACATTTTATCGAGAATTTTTTTTAGTCTAGTGGAAGGTGGTCTTAAAGTATAAACTTAAGGTTGAGTTGGGGTACAGTTTCTCAACTGGGCTATGCTAATATCGATTAATCCATATTTTTACTAGGCCTAGGGTCTGTATCAATTAGGCCTAGGTATAAAATTAAACTGTCATAACCTAACCTATCTAACCAAACTTGCTGATAGTGAAAAAATCGAATGAAGGTTTAAGTTACTAATTGAATCTATAATTTCAATCGGTATTAGCATAGCCCAGTTAAGAAACTGTCTTTTGAGTTGTGCTGTAAAACGTTTAACATGTAAGGCCTGCCGGTAACTGTTAAATTAAAATGAATTTGCATAAAGCCAACCTACCACCCTAACATGCCTTTTCTGACCCCAAAGGAGTTTGCTGACGTTCCAGGAGTTTGGTTTGGTTAAGTTATGTTAGAATAGCACCATTATAGCCTACCACATAGGCTCCCATTTTAGCAAATTTCCTGAGTGAGTAGCCTACTGACTTCTTATATTGTGATTCCACTTGTAAATTTTGTTTATCTTATTATTCAAACATTGTGCATTTTATCAGCTATATCCTCAGTAATATTCGTTTGCTGTGAAAAATAAAGGTATTTGGATTCAGGAGGTAAGAAACTACTAAGTAAGATAAGTACTATCAAATACAAATTTATTTGGAGGCACATACCGTATACAAAATAATTACCGATTTTTTCATTGAACCAGATTATTGATGCAATGTTGGGCATACACATGTTTTTATAGTCTTTTGCTCATGATTACATTCCATTGTTGAATGAGTTAGTCCGTCTATCTTCTAACATTTTCTACGGTACTGTACTAGCATAGGCAGGCTAGATTTAAAGAAATTGAACCTTTACCACACAAACAAAATATTTCTTATACTAACATGTACTGTAACATTTAAATGAAACACAGTACACCTACCGGTACTTATAAATTTATATTTTAAATATCAATAATTGTGTATTGTTTTACAGGAAGATAAACCAGTTAGGCAAACTGAAATTTTCTAACTTTGAGTCTAAACCACCCAGCAAAAAAGTATTTGTTGCTACAGAAGAAAATGTGATTGCAGCATTGTCAACAAAAACAGGTAAATTGGCTAACTAAGCATGTTTACAAAAAAATGGCCAAGAATATTTTAGATTGTATTTGGTCACAAGACTAAATTAATACTGTGCGGATTTTGGAAATCAGGTTTGAGAGTTAGCCTACTAGCTGAGAAGATGACATATTAGTTTGAACATCTTAAAAAAACGTAGCCCTTTTGCAGGACTTTTAACTTTTTCGAAAAACTTTTTGAAGGAGTAGAGGGATTTTTAGCTACTTTTCTAAATTTTTAGTTTTAAAAACTTGCAGGGATCTTGATGCTTTAAGTTATGCTTTTTTGGTTTTGGAGCTGGCAAAGTTCAGTTTAGGCCTAATTGCTAGTATCGGGAAGCAGTTATTTTTACTCAGACTACAGAATGGCACATTGAGTTGATCTTTTCCTCTGGATATTGTACATATGTTGTGAGGGACAGGTTGTTTTCCTTAATATAGGTCAAGGTGAGCAAGATATACTGACTGTATATAGTCAGTATACCCAGTTGGCCAAAAATAGGCCTACTATGTTTGGTATTCGGCAGAGTTGATCAACGTAAGAAAAACAGACCTATATTTTCTGTTGTGGCAAAAAAATCCCTCCCTCTAACTGATGTAATATTTTTGTATGTGCATAACAAATTTAAATTAGCCTACTTGAAACCTACTAAGGTTGTTCGAAATCTAGCCTATTGGTTACAGTAATTTGCAAACAACCGTACAGTGCGCTTTTCCTTAGAGTTCACCACATAACAACTCAATCAATATTTACGATGCTAATTATTTGCTAATGTGAATCATTGTTAACTGAAGGTGAGATTGTATGGCGGCAGATCCTAGAGAGGGATGACAACGGCAAAGTGCAACTGCTGCATGTTGATGGGGAAATGGTGACGGTCACTGGATCTGGGCCATTTACAGTCCGTGGCTGGAACGCCAACTCCGGCAGTCTGTTGTATGAATGGAGCATCACTACAGCTAGGTTTGTTGTCTTTAACTACTCATGAATTAAATGAGTAAGACCTGAAAGAGTCCATTACCTGACCTACACACAGTGTGCATTTTTAAAGAGTTCTCCCCTACCTATCCCTACATTTCTACACTTCTTATAAGAAGTTAATTCAAACTTATAACCAAGATTTACTCGTCAAAATTGCACTTCCTAAACATCGAATTTGTATCCCTATTTCCAATATTATTCTGTCATTTTAAGAGTTGCTACTTAAGTAACAATGTAAATGTTAAACAGGACTGTGGTGGGACAGAGGTAAATGGTCATATTTATTGGTCACCAGTTATATTTTCATGCCCATAAACTTAGTGTAGTTGAGGTTTGATTGGTCTCAGCCAATATGATCCAAGGTTAAGTTAATTACTTGAACTACATGGAGCTTAGTGCATAGGATCATTTATATAATTATATGGTTTAACTAGCTGACCCGGCGAACTTCGTATCGCCTAAGTTATAGGTTTCCCCCTAAGACAGACCGATGGAAAGAAAGTACCGTTACGTTTAATTTTCAAGATGATCTCGTTCGCATCGCTCAATCACGTCCTGGTTGAAGTTCGTTCGCTACGCTCACTCACCTTTGGGTTGGAGCTCGTTCGCTACGCTCACTCACCTTTAGGTTGGAGCTCGTTCGCTGCGCTCACTGGCCTTCAGGTTAGCTCGTTCGCTACGCTAACTCGCCTCCAGGTTGAAGTTCGTTCGCTACGCTCACTCACCTTTTGGTTGCAAATTAGCTGTTGTCATAAATGTAAAAGAAATAATAGTGCTGCACCCTGTTGGTAATCCTTGTAACTTTAATGCTATTGAACATCATAGAACAGAACCAACTTGTTTAATTGAAACAGCTGTTAAGATTCATTAATTCCATTTCTCATAAGGTTAACATGGGAAACTCCAGAGCCACTGGGGCGGAGCCCTTTTAAGAATTTCGAAACGGGAAATAGTTTACGTCCGATTCGCATACCTACAGAATTTACACACCAAATTTCATAACGATCGGTGAAGTCGTTCCGGAGGAGTTTGCAGACAAACACTGTGACACGAGAATTTTATATATTAGATTTACATGTCCATGTGATTCTATTCTAATGGCTGTCAGATCACTCAAGTTGAGGTTGTCATTGAACTCACAAATACAAATGAAAACACAAAACATTTAAGAACAATAGGAAGCTACTGTAGGAAAGGGTCTATATCTAACTGTCCAGTACCATACACTACAATGCGGCAGTGGTAGGCCTGTATCATGACCACGCATTAGTTGAAGTTGAATTAAACCCTATAAAAAACCTAATTTTCCTATATCAAATGCATGTTATTTTGGGTTTAACACTGATGGCCCCATTTCATTTAGTGTTGAATCCAAATAACATGCATTTTATATATGAAAATTAGGGTTTTTGTTATTTACACAAAAACTTAGAGATATGAAGTAAGTGTAAATTACAAAGTTTTTAAGAATTGAAAAACCTATAAAATGATGTGCCACTTGACATATGTTGCTATTTTATAATTTTAATCAATGGGCATTTTAAAATTTTCAAAAACCAATTTTTTGGAATTTTTATTATTTCAAAAAACCGTTACTTGTAGCATACCTATTGTAAAGCTAATTTCATAACAAGTAAGAAAACTCAACCGAAGAAGGGCTAAGTGCATTGGTATAGGAAAAGGAAACACAGAGTACTAACAACATAGGCTATTGATTTTCTCTAAAAAAAAATGCCATTTTGAAATGGAAAAAGATAATTAATTTATGTTTTTGCCAAAATGTTAAGTGTATTAATTACCTTTAAAATTATGTATAACATGACACATGTTTACCTTTGAAAATATTTTTATGTTATTCCTTGGGGTTGATTTAGCGGGAAATAGTTTTATTTCATCCTTTTACGTTGAGCCGTTTTCCCGCAGTCAATTTGAGACATCGTATGTGGGACACCCTGTATATACAGGGTTATTACAAATTATGTTCCTGATTTTGATTATAAATATTATTGTGTTAATATGTTTAAAGACAATTTTAGTTGGTACCATTTTACCATTGGAAAGAAAAACTCATAGGGTTTCATTTACATTGGTTTGGGACATGGGTGCATATTTAAGCTGTTGTCAAGTCAATTGTTGTAAGTGTTGTGTAATGGCTGGGTTCTAAGACAGAAGCTTTTTGTGTGTTGGATTACCACGTCAACCAATCTGTTATTAGTGTGCAACGAAACCAGGTTTAATGTAGATCCTCCTAGTAACCACTCCATTCGCAGTTGATACTAAAATTTTAAGAGAAACTGCATCATTTGGATGCTGGGTCTGAACTTAACAATGTGCTGCCAGAGATATGGATCGGGAGTAGTAGACCGAATAATGACATACTCCTAAACTGGCATCCAAGATCTTCGAGCATCACCCCCTGTGATTTTTCTTGTGGGGATATAATGATAATGATAATGATAATTTATTTGCACATAACATACAAATTTGTGAAAATCACATGTACAGGTGCTTCGTCTTGATCTCTTAAAAATTGATTCTCAGTCCTTAATTATTCTAAAACATAAATTGGTTCCTAAGATGTTGATCACCGTCTTAAATTTAGTGCTACAATAACATGAACATATTCAAACATAACAAGGTATAAAATTTGTAAATCTACCGGTAACAAAATGGCAAAAAAAATCATTAAACAGGCATTTCACATCATTACCACTAATTCTTAGCTTCAACTCTCCTTCCCTACTCTGTAAGTTTCTAAAATGAACTAAACTCTTCTTACTAGTATTTAAATGAAGGCCATTAATAACAAACCAATGCTCTAGATCTTGTATCGTAGCATCATATATCAAAGCATATATATATAGCATATATATCAAAGATAAGGTGTATACACCACCAAGATCCAGCAAACGGATTACCAATGCTATCGTGCTATCGAAACAATTCATCAAGACACTCTTATCAAAATGTGGCAAGAGCTTGACTACAAGATTAACATATGCCGTATCACAAGGGGTTCCCATTTAAACATTTATAGTTCTGTTTATCTGTGACAAAACTTTTTGAGTTTTTCATTTTTATAAGTTGTAACCATTTCATTTTTTTGTAAAGCAAATAAAACAATGTTCTAAGTACGCTTGAAATCATGAACATCATTTGTAATAACCCTGTATACATAATTATATAACTATGCATGATATTATTGCCACTTTCATTATAAAACAAATAAACGTTTTTGCAGCGGTCCTTCAATAAGGTGGTCCATTTATCGAGGGAAGCTGTACTTGGTGAACATTGTTGATTCGCAAGTGGAAGTCTCTGCATACAACCTTCGTACTGGTGGAGAACCCAACAGCTACACAATACCTCTAACAGACTTCCCCAAGGACCAGTCCAAGTAAGGGGTTTTACACAACATGTAATGGGAGGGCTCTCTAGGATTATTATCAACAATTTGAAATAAATTGGCTACATTTCTTTTTTCATTAAATAGTTTTATCCTAAAAAATTGCCAAATATAACTCATTGCAAATTCAAAAAAAGTGTCTTTTCGACTCCTAAAAAATTCTCCAATTGAGGAAAAGTAATGAAGCTTAAGAGCTTTTAAGGAGAGTATCTTTAAGCCATATTGATGGAATACGCTACGTAGGCCTACATAATACATGTTGAGTAGGCCCTACAATACCTGTGTAACAATTGTGACCCAAATTTTATAAAATAAGCACCATTCCTCAAAACTTATATCTAATTTAACTTTTTTTCAAATTTCATAGTTAAATTCTCAAGACTGTCTATGGTTTACAGGGTGGCACTGGCTGGTGTGAACCTAGTTTACATCAGCACACAGAAGGCTAACACAGTGCAGGCAGTACACTTGACAGAACAGAAAAACAACATAGTGTCAGTAACAGTACCAGGACCAGCTGACTCTCTGTCTTCAGTTACTTCCCAGGCAGATCTGTTCTATGTGAGAGTCACAAGTCAAGGTGTCGGCACATCACATCTTATATCCATCCAGAAAGAGGCGCCTAACAGATTACCCTCGATTAACCTTGTTAAAGAGGGTGTCGACTCCCATCTCAGGGCTGTCTACCAGAGCTCCCCTGAACAAAGTTTGATAATAAAACTCCAATCCATAAAGGTAAGTAGGTCACTTGAGTGTGATTTTGATATTTTATACCTGGATACTGAATAGAAGCAACCCTCATTTTCCTTTTGAGGAGACACTTGAATCCATTTTATTTATCTTAAATGCTAATAACCTTGTTTGGTGAGGGGGGAAATATTTATTCTATTTTCTTTAGAAAGTGCGGGGGTATAAATTCCCTAATTGAAAATCTAATTGTTCATAAACACAGAACAAATAGGCCTATGTATCGTGTAACTTATAAAGGAACCCGGGCTGTTTAACCAGTACCTAACTAAAATACAATTTTGGAAAAAAGCTCAAGAGTTTGATATCCAAACTTAAATTCAGTGGCCTATGTTAAGTCATGACAATCTCAAATCAACAACAATGTCAGCAACTATGAGAAATTTTAAGTGATAATGCTAATATATTTTAACTTTTTTTAAATCAATTCTTATTTTATGCCTATTACCAAATTGAAACCGAGACACAACTAGGTGCATTTAAACCCAAATCTCAGTGTAGAATGGAGTAAGATGCCTTGTGTAAGATGTACTAGTCGCTGATTAAGGCAAGCTGTTTCTTTAACCAGGGTCATTCATTATAAACCCAACGACCTAGGACAGCTAGATCCATCAAACAAGGTCTGACTTTTCTTAGGATAAAACCAGCAGTCTTTTGGTTGTCAAGCCATCACTACCCAGGTATAGTAGAGCACATTGCACTATTTTTGCTATATAAGTATTTTTTGACAGTTTATGTGTTGACTTGCAGGGAGAACTCGCAGTGTCCACTCATGATGACACAGGAGCGCTTGTACCAGAGTTGAGTTCTGAGACAGTGCCACTGACAGCAGATGCTCCGTCACATGTTGAGATCAGCTGTTTGTCTTGTCTCACCAGGAGAGACAAGACTGTCTCTTGTCATATATTAGTGTCTGGTGGTGACCACTCCATGCACATGCTGCAACTACCAGGTCACTTACACTTACTTAAAGAATCTGCAAATATCACTGTGGAAAACCATTCTAAAAGGTCCTTGATAGAAAACAAATCAGTTCAAAATCAAATAACTTTAAGTAGACATACATTTTGTCATGTTTACTAGCGTTCATACTTTTGAGATGACAAAGATAATCCTCAACTAATTACGACAAATCATGTCATAGGTAACTGCTAGAATTCACTAACTAAATGGTTTGTGTATGTCCTGCACAGGAAAATATAACAAAAGTAGCTGCTTGGTCATTTTCATAATGTGGGTAGAAAATAATTAGTGAAAAACATAGTGTTTAAAAATGCATTCAACAAATTATTAAATGGCAGATTTGCTGTCCATTTTCTGCATATTTGCTGCACCAGATAATTTATAATACTTTTTATAAAATGAATATAATTGTAAAAAACCGTGTGATTATTATAATTTGTTAAATTTAATTTCAGGTGGAGCTCTTTGGTCAAGGGAGGAAGCTCTTGCTTCTATACTCAGTATCGAGCTAGTGGATTTGCCAGTGTCAGATGGAGAAGCTGCCATTGAAAAAGAATTCAACATCACTGAAGGTATGTAAATGAATTATGAAGCAAAATATGACAACCTACTCATCTTATTCCTACTTAACTCTATTTTACAGCATTAACTGTTCATGTTAAATCAGTTCTGCTGTAAAAATGTAAAATTAAAATGTTAGCAATATCTTTTGATAAGTCATTATAAGCTTAATTTTTATAAAAGTGTATTTAAAAGCTGAGAATTTAAGTGGGAGAAAAACATATTTTCAGAAGTTAAAACAGGGGTAAAATGAGATAGTGTTGCATTTTTTTGTTATTTCCTCTCAGCCTTTTACATTTACAATAATAACGACCAGTTTAGATGAGTTATCAAATACTGAATTTTTTTTAGTCATAAGAATGTTCATTTTGATAAAACATAGGTATAAAACACCTAGTTTATTGCATATATTTTTATATAAATTGGTGTGAATATTTAGGCTACCTGCACTTATGTGATTTTTGATGTAGCTTTATGGCAACTAGTTTTGATTCAACACTGGTGTCACCATCAGGCTAGTACAGATGTAATCTTTTCTCTTCATCCGTAGACCGTCAACATTATTAATAATAAATATAACACACACATGCACACGGACATGAAATACACAAACATTTAATGACAAAAACGAGAATACTGTAGATAAGCGGGACAATACTTCAGCGGGCGGAAGTAGTATCTAGACTGCCGGTCAACGTTTTCGATAATGATGACATCATGCTTGGGTTTCCCTATCAGCTGATCGTTTCATTCACAACTCCCCCTGCTTCCAGTAATTTGATTGCAGTAAAAGTATTACAGTAAAGTGTCATGGTGACAAAAAAGTCTGGAAACTTGATATATTTTTAACTAAATTTGTTAGAAAATTCAAACCTTTCACATCAACTTGTATGTATGAAAACTACTTATTGCAAGCATTACCATTTTTTTAAGTATGGCACAAGTTGTGTTTTAGGCGCTTATTGAACACGTGATCATCTTAAAAGACCATTATTGTAAGGGAATTTAATACATATTGGTGATGCTCAATGTTAAAGGGGGGGGGGGGGGCGCTTAAGCAACTCTAGGCTCCAGGGCGCTCCAAACCTGGCTACGCCACTGTTGATATGCACATCATTTTAAAGGTCTAGTCAAGTGGAGTTCATTGCCGGAAACCTTGTCAAAAAAGGTTTATCCGTTACAAAATAGCGGCAGTCCAAGGTCTTTGCAGAATATACCTACACAGGCCTTAGTCTTAGTATTGGTAAATACTCATAGTCAACACTAGCCGGGAAATCTGAAAACCGGTTAAATTTGTTTTGAAGATTCAATAATATTAGTCTATGAGCTAGTTGACTTTAAAATACAATTTCAGCTCTCAAGCTAATGATGAATACGAGTATTTACCAATACTAAGGCCTGTGCAGGTATATTCCACAAGAACTTTGGACAGGCACCATTTTGTAACGGATGAACCTTTTGAGACGTGGTTTCCGGCAATGAACTCCACTTGACTAACCCTTTAAAATCATGTGCATATTAACCTATGCTTAATTTAAAGATGATGTACTTACTCCTCATGGGTCGTCCCCTGGTAGAGGTAAACCAATGATAATGCTTGGGAAAAGTAGTTTTCATACATCTAAGTTTATGTGAAAGGTTTGAACTTTCTAACGGATTTAGTTAAAAAGATATTAAGCCGTTTCCAGACTTTTTTGTTACCCTGTATATAATTTGATGGAAGTGAAATCTTGTCGTTAATGATGTTTTGACTGTCAAATTTAACGGCCCTGGCAATGTGTCACTATTGAATCGGTTTTTTGATGAATACAGAATTTTCATATCTTTCTTCATATCTTTTCTTTGGTTACAGCTTTTTTTTAGCGAACTTCTCATAAAGGGAATAAGCTATTACCGTATGTTTCATGATAAGACCTGGACCCGGGGTGAATTTACTTTTTCGTTTTGATATCTCTTAGAGGCCAAACACACCAGCCATTCAAATTCATATATATATATATATGTCCGTTAGCACGATAACTCGAGCAAAAATCATCCGATTTTTATGAAATTTGGTGACAAACGTGTGTAAACCAACGTTTATTTGAACGAGATTGTGATCGGCATGATGGGATCGTGGGAACGGTTTATGGTGTGTTTTCCCCATTTTTGATCCTAAAAACATCAATTTTTGAAGTTTCTTTCCAAACCAATTTGTTAAGCTTGAAAATACAATTAATTTATTTAATATTATTAGAGTATTTTTGGACAGTTATTGGTTAAGGAGAAAATTCAAAAATTTTAAATTTAAAATTCACATGTTATTCTTATGGAGAATAATTAAAATTATAGTTTTCTTGTTTATGGATATATTTTGATCAAACTCGTCAAATTTATTTTGCTATACATTGAGCTATATTAATGCTAATTGATTACCGTTATTATTATGATCCGACATTCCTCTGTTCTGAAACACCATTTATTGGTAGCCTATCTCTACAGTAGCTTCCTATTCTTATTTTTTGTTCTATATGATTAATTGCCATACAGTATAAGAACAATAATTTTTTTTTTATATTGAGGAAGCTGTGATTGTTAACTGAACAGTTGTTATTTAACTGACCCAAGGTTAAATGACTTGAAAATATCATGCTTGCGCAATATTGTGTATTGTTGATGTATAAATCCAAATTATGACAGTAATGTCTATATCTATACAGTATTTGGGTATTTTTATGGGCTTGGCTTGTTGTCATCATATATGTTTATACCATGTTGGATTAAAAATATAATCAAGTTTTCAGTTATCCGTGGTCTCTCTTTCCCCAATTACCCTGCATAATCGAGGTTCTACTGTACAGTATTTTTTTTATTTACATCAGCCAGCACCCTTGTACACCGTCCTAGGTTGCCTAGGAAATTTAAGCCTGTTACCTGAATTAAGTAAAGAATTTGATCAAACTAAGAGGCAGAACTAAGTTTTGGTTTTCAAAATTAATAATGATTGTGTTACTATTTCATACAGCAGATCTATTTAACCAAATGATTTTTTTCACGTCCTCTGCCCGTTGTGAAGCATGAGTACAGCAGCTCCCAATCATATATTTTAAGTTACACATTCTGTACTACGTGAGACAATGCTGAAGTGTGACAGCTGGTTTTATTCATCACTGGTTATAATTCTTGATGTATTGTTGGTGGTTTTCTGTATCTGGTGTTTAACCTTGGTTGTTTGCCAGTTCGAGAAGAGTCTGTGGTGTCTGGTGAGTCTCATATGTTTGGACGTGGCTTGTTAGTTTTTCCTCTGAATGATTTTTTTTTATTCATTCCCAACCCTTATACTACTAAGTAAAATAGTACTATACATACTACACATACACATGTGATTTAGTTCACCTGATAGGCCCAAATAATAGCGAGACTATGTTTTCCATTTTGATAGATTCTTCACGTGTTTACATAAATTGTCACACATTGCCTATCCCAAGGCCCCACTAGAAAAAACAGACCATGCTGCAGCACGGGCAGCGCAACACTACGTCACAGTGGTGGATAGTTGTACTAAATTCTTACCATTAAAATCTTACAAACAGCCAGCTTGTTTATTTATCTAAAACATATGGGAATGGTGATGGCAATGATTTATCAATGAAATCTATCCACTAGTGTGACGTAATGGATCCTGCAGCATGGCCTGTTTTTCTAGTGGGGCCTTGCCTATCCTTACTTTGTGTTTGTCAATCTAAAACTGGTCTTGTAAGGAATTTGATATACGTACTCAGACCAGCCTTGTGAAGCTTGTATATTACTGGTATGAGTAAATACCATTTTTGTATGCTTGTATTTGTAATCAAGTGTTGGTAATTGCACAGTACATTATTTATTTACTGGCATAACACATCCATCTATAGCATGTTTAGTCACATTTCTACAACACTTAAAAACTGTTTATGGATTTGCAATATTTGTTTCTAAGATTTGCATTATTATTATTGATATCTGTTTTTATTGTTAGCTGTTTTGCATGGTGTGTGTGTGTGTGTGTGTGTTTGAAAATGTGTGCTTTTATTAAACCATTTTCAGTATACCCTAATTGTGTTTTTGTTAGTATTGTTCATGTCTATTTTATTTATTTCTGTATAATTAATTGCCACAGTTCGGAAGTGTGCTGCATTCCAGAGTCTGGTAGCCAAGTTCTACATAGTACAATAGGTTTCCAACTGATTCTTTAAATACAGGGTACTATCGAACGCATGGAAACGGTTGGAACAAATAGATATTTTGTCACTCATGTAAACCTAGAGATGATTCCACCATTTTTGTAAACGCCTCGAATTGGAGATGGTTAGTGGCTTTGCACTGACACAAGTATAGTCAACCGTTTCCATAACTGCTTTTTTTTATGAAGACTATCTATGGTAAAAGGATTGGCCATTAAAAACGTGAATTGGCGATCAAGGAGTTTTTTTTTTTCAAATCTACTCCTAAAGTATTAACAAGATGTATCATTGAATTTGCTGGCACAGGAAACCAACCGCCATTAACAATCATCTGCACTTTATAACCTTAATTTGGTAGTTGGGGGTTGACACATTATGTAATAATTTTAATGCAAGACATCTGATCATATAAAAAGTGTCTCTTAGTCTTAGCCAATACAAACCATTTGTGTAAGAGTGTTGGTTTGGTACGCAGGACCGTTGGGGATGTTCACTCGTCGTATCTCTAGTCAGTTGTCTCAGCTCCAGGGCTTAGTCATGACTGTGCTGGGGCTCAAAGAGCAATCATCTGGCAACGGGCGCGCTGACTTGGTCAGGGATGACTTTGGCCTTCACAAGATTATTGTGGCCGTCACTTCCATTGGAAAGGTAAATAATCTCCTTTTACTGAATAAATGATCAAGTGTTCATTTTTCTTAGCTTAAAGTTTATTACCTTTTTTACAAAAAGAGGCCTTCTACTTTTTACAAAAAATTGTTATTTAGTTTGCAAGAGATTGTTTTTTTTTTTTTTTTTTTTTTTTGTATTGGAAAATAATTCAAAATAAAGCTACAAGCTACAGTATATTTTCAAGTTATGGTTATATTAAGCAAATTTAACTTAGTGACCTAAGAGTGCACTATGCCTAAGCACTCGTTAAATATAATGTTATTTAAATTGGGAATAAATATGTCTTATTTATGGAAATATATTTTTTTATGTAATCAGGCAAGTTGAAATTCGCCTAGTCTGCAGGTTTGCTGTGGCGGGGTTATTTATTATTTTATAGTTGTTTGATTGTCATTCATAGCCAGTGTGGCATTGGAAAGTGATGGACTTTTTTATGGAACTAGATATTTTTGTTGATGTAGTACATTGTCAATAGCTATTTTAAATAGGTATAGTAGAATTGATTGGTCTCAAATGTTGCTTACTAATTTATCAAACAACCCTTATAGAATTTCCAGTTTATTTTTAAACTATTATTCTAGTTTGTAATATATCAAAGCTCTAATTACAGTTGACCATTAGTCAAATGCCAGGCAATGTGTCTTGACTCCTAAGGCAAGTGGCAATAATGTTTATAGGTTATTGAGAGTTGTCTCCTTTTTCAAGGTCATAATTGGAAGAATGTGATTTTCAAATGCAACCTTAGTAAACCCAGAATAAGGTCACTGCTATGGAAAATATATAATAAGCAATTGTTTTATCTTTTTAATCTTAAAGTACCTATAAGCATTTAAAAAAAAAAATCAATACTAGCTCATTACTAACATTTAATATTTCAAATATCTGGTTTGGATCTAATTTAATTATTGTGTACATATTCTTTTGTACATATGCTGTTTATATTTTAGCTCGTAAAATAATATTTTTATTAATTCTAATAAAACAAATTATGTTTACTTATGAATTATTATATAATGTGATAAAAAACCCATTGAAATTGTACGTTTTTTTAGGTTTTTGGAATCGACAACTTAAGTCATGAAATCATCTGGCAGTTTACAATTGATGATGTAGTTCCTTTTGACAACCTTGGGAAGGAAGTTGTACCCCTGTTTCTGCAGCGTTCAGCTCGTCATTCTAGCGGCACACACCCTGCGTTGTGTACAGTGCTGTACAAACACAAGGTTAGTTTAGTAGTGGCCCTAACACTGCATGGTTTTTCTTAATGCATCATGTGTAGGATAAGAAATCACATGTATACTGTTGTAGGGTGTAAAGAAAGTAAGAGTTCCGAGACTAAAGAAACATGAAAAGGTCTCATTATATAACACTGATATTTCAACCTAATACAGGTATTCTTCAGAGAATATATTTATTTATGATAATGAAGACCAATTTACCCTCTGTAAAATATAACCTTACTAGCAGAGTACCCGTTCTAGTGTAAAATGCTTATTGCAGTTACTTGTGATTTGTGTTTGTAATGAGGGATGACACGGTTGGAGAAAATTTGGCTCTTTTAATTTACGGTATGCTACAGTACAACAAACTACATTTTAAAGTGAAATAATATGTTGGCAATCACCGACAATCAATATTTTTGCAAACAAATAACTTGTAACATAAACATTTCAATGACAGTTTGGAACCAACTGTTAGTTAAACCAGAACTGAAACAACTTTAAATTGTTAACTTCAACCGCTAGACTATAAAAAAATTAAAACATAATTTCTAAAAAAACTTAAACCCTAAACTAAAACTATACATTACTCATAACAGTCTTATGTGCATTCTTGCAATAACCATTGTAATAAAATAAGGCTATGTTTTTTTTTTGTTTTTTTTTTCTTCTGACCACCAAGCATGATCGTTTATTTGTTAGCAGCACTTTGGCCGTTTAGATCTAAGGAATTATTTAATTATCTAAAATACATTTTATGCCTGTAAAAATGCTGCAACATAATTACAGATATATTTTAAGGCCTTTATATAAAGCTTTGAACTTTTAACTAACCTAACAACAATACTTTTGAAGTACTGATGGTGATTCTCTTGAGCTTCGTTGAGTAAGATTGGTTTAAGGTTCAACCTATAGAAGTATTGTCAGAATATACTCATTTTTGAAATATACGCCTTTGTTCATTTATTATGTATGTTTCAATCTATTTTCTTTATTCCAGCAAACTCAGGAGGTTGTCAAACATTCATTTAATCCTATCACCGGAAAACCTATATTTGCAGGTAACATATTTATATTTTACTTTTGAGTAAAGTTATCTGAAATAAAAATATGGTAAAGTATAAAGTTGTCAAGGTACTAGCAATAAATACAAACCATTTAAGAATCAAAATGCTTAAAAAGAATAGTCAGACTAGAATTTTGCCACTGAAATAAGCTTTGCACGGCAGCCGCTAAGATCGCTCATGTAGCGGCTGCGCTACTCTATTCTATTCTCTCTCTCTCTCTCTCTCAAACCCGATTCTTTGTCTCACTCTCTCAGTCAGCTGACTTAGCCGTGCGCTCCCAATATTCGACGTAACGGCCGCTGCGAGAATTATCCGAAATTCAAATAATCCCAAACTGAGTTTGTAGCAAAGGCATTACTCCTTATAGGTTTTGTATTCATTGGTACTAGGTAGAGCTTCTTCTACTGAAGTAGCCTGCGTTTTAAAGTCAGTGGATATAAGGGATTTTTTATATTGGGGAAGGTAATGGTAGACAGTATGACCCTAAGAGAAATGTTTTAAATCATACTAGTTCCTAGCTTTGAACTGCTATCATGTTAACTGGAGCAGGGAGAAACCAAGTTGAAAAGAAGCTGTGCACTATACACTATACAGCCGCTTATACTGCAATACCATGTCACCAGGTGACTCCCACATTTGCCAATGGAGAGAAGTAGGTATGCCATTCCCATGTACAGGATGTAGCCAGTTTTAAAATGAAAATGGACATGAACACATGACATCAGCCACCAACAGAGTCAAATACTGATTTATATTCTATAGAAGCTTAAAATCTTGAAGGTGAACATAGGTTGATATGTACATCAAATTGAAGGTCTTGTTGAACTAAAAACAATAATGCAAACCGTACCTCAAATGGACAATTGAGTAACAAATGACAGCTTTTTAAAGATTCCTTAAATTTGCAAAGCTATTATACGCTACCTCCTAAGGGGGGTGACCGCTAGAAGACGGAAGAAAATCATAAACGTGAGCATAGGTCGATACGCACATAAAATCAAAGGTAAACCACCAATGAGGTAGGTAACTTAAGGTCTAGGAAAATAGCCATTATTTATTCATGTTTACTTCCATGAAAAAACAGAGAGGGTAAACAGTAACCGTTATTTACGAAACAAAAATCTCTTGACTGGATGAGGGGGCAACACGTAACCATCGTGCTGATAAAATCCACTCAAGGGCGGAAGATCTCTTGATAATCCTACACTGAGACTCCTTTGACAATAACACATGACACAGGTGTTTTGGAGGGTTTGGGGATTAGGTTATTTTTACTGATTTTGCTTTATCAGTAAAATACAATCCCGCTCATTTGAGCTCAAAAGAACAAATGAGTAAAAGTGGCAGATTCAAGAAATCTTTGAACGGCTGCCATTCTTGACACTGTTGTCCTTTTGAGGTCCAGTTTGCAGCCTTGGTTTTAGTTTAACAAGACCTTTAATTTGATATTCAAATCAACCTATGCTTACCTTTCAGATTTTAAACTTACTCCCTAATGTCCCCCATAGGGGACATCCGATCACCATGTACACGAAAAAGTAGCTTACTTTTACCAGTAATGATAAGCCAAGTTGTGAAATACCTTTTTGTTATAAAGTCGTCCTAAGAATTAATTTTTACCCTGTATAATACATCAAGCCATTTTTACTTTTGCTAACGCAACTTCTATCGTAACGTCTTGTAAATGTTAACAGTATAAGTATAAATATCAAAAAGTGTTGGGAGACACATTTTAAGCTATTATTCAGTACTAAACTTCAATAAATGTTTAAAGCCACACCTGAGAAGCTAGGCTACAAGCTGGCACAGGCGTTGCTGCTGCCTAATGTGAATCAAGAGTTCCTCAAACCTCTATTACTGATGGACTCGGCTGGTGTAGTACACCTCTACCCAGCACTCTCCCAGGCGGCGGCCGGCGCTGTGGCACGGTCAACCTACCTGTATACAGCCGACACCAACACTGGTCACCTGGTTGGCTACAGCTTACACATTGACACAGCTGATCAGGTCAGTAGCACAGCAGTTACTAGGTCTTGGATACTTATTGCTTAATTTAAATTTTGGTAGCCACCATTTTGATTAGTTATTTATTTACATTTGTGGACACTATTGAAGTTCTTTTTGTGAGAGGTGTAGTTGCCCAAGGCAACACGAAATAAACGGGCTGGAATGCTCCTCTGGAATGACGTCTTCATAGGCAGATGCAATGACATAATGTTTGCTGTTTTTTTTGTTTTATCCAATATTTTTTTCCAAGAAAAGATTAAAACAAGCAGCTGATCACAAATGGCAAACAGTATGTCATTGCCGTCACCTTTGATGACGTCATGCCAGAGGAGCATTACGGTCTGTTTATTTAGTGTTGCCTTGAGTTGCCTCTTGCTACTTTACCTTTTGTACCACCTCCAAAATCAGACCATCAACATTAGTGAACATTAGTGAATCCCAACCGCTGTTGAATGCCCATCTACTTTCGCCAGATCAAACAGGAGATCCAAATTAATCAGGCTCACTTGAATGGAAAAGAGCCCACTCAAGCACAAAAAACTAAGAAAATATGTTTATTTTATATGAAAGCAGAACATTTTCTCTGTCATTGACAACATTTTCAACCAAGGAATGGTTCATTTTGTAATACAGTAGAACCCCTCATATCCGGCCTTGGTTTTACCGGTCCTCTGTTTATCCGGCCCCTTTCAGGAAGCCAATATAAAAATTTTTTTCTCACACTTTACAGACGTTTAGGTACAAGCACTAGTCTTTGTGACTGCTTAAGTCATAAAATAAATTGTTCTAATTATTTATCTGTTTGTTTATACATTTATTTGCTGAGTCACTATACTCAGTTGAGCTAGTAGGCCTAACCTCTGATCAGTTGGCTGATTATTTCCAAAGTGGGCTTAGTACAGTACAGTACGAGTACATTAATTTTTGTATTTCACAAAATGGTTAAAAATGTTGAGTAGAAATGCAAGTGGTATTTAAGTCCTAATGATCTTTAAGTACAATTTATTGTCATTTTTACCTCCATTTAATATGTTTTGTTACCTGGAATCATAATATTTGTAGCCTACATTCATTACTTACAATAATGACTTTAACCTACAAATATTTTTTTCCCTTTTTACAAACATGTTTATTTTTCTAAAAATGATCCCAGAACAGAATTAAATGATACTTTTGATTGCATATATTGATTACCTATTATTATTAGGTATGAATTGTCATTTTCATAGTAGGTTGGTTTATCCGGCCAAATCGTTATCCGGCCAGGGGCTTGGTCCCGTGGTGGCCGGATATGAGGGGTTCTACTGTAGATCTCCCAAGCCCTTGTGTTGTATGTTACATTCTAAAGCTCAAAATTAGTGATGGGTCGGTACTTCACGTCAAATTACAGTTCTGCCGCTTCTTGGCAAAAAAACCGCAACCGAGAACCGATGGTGAGATGTCGGTACCGCAACCCGTCACTGATAATGCCGGAAAATTACCGATATTGTCGCGATCACAAAAGACGATGATGGCATTTCCATGACTGCGGGATATGATTTAGCCGCGATCGCGGAGGACGACGATGATGTTACCACGATCGCGGGAGACGATGATGACGTTTACATAATGTAAGACTAAATTACTTACGTAATTCCCGTCACAGCTCAATAAAATATGTCTATTCAGGACATGTTTCAGTGTTAAAACACCATCGTCAGCTTCAGGTACATAGTGTAGAGTTGATCAGTTGTTAACATCGTCAGAAGAATAAATAAACACAGTACGGACACGAATAAATACATAAAACAGTTAAACATTTAAAAAAAAACAGGCCTGTTCTAACAAAGATGACCGACCGCACAGGTAGCAAGGGACAGACTAGACCAGCTTTTTTTAAATGTTTAACTGTTTTATGTATTTATTCGTGTCCGTACTGTGTTTATTTATTCTTCTGACGATGTTAACAACTGATCAACTCTACACTATGTACCTGAAGCTGACGATGGTGTTTTAACACCGAAACATGTCCTGAATAGACATGTTTTATTGAGCTGTGACGGGAATTACGTAAGTAATTTAGTCTTACATTATGTCCAACAGCTCAGGGGCTACACACATGGATTTAAAAAAAAAAAAAAAAAAAAAAGACGTTTACATGTCCGCAAGAGATGTTCATGACTTTGCCGCGATCGTTGATGACGACAAAGACGTTTCCATGACTGCGGGAGTTCATGATGTTGTCTACACGGCCGTGGGAGATGTTCATGGTTTTGCCGCGATCGTGGGAGACGATGATGAAATCTGCATAGCCACAGGCGATTTTCATGATTTTGCCACCATTGCGCAAGACAAAAATTATGTCTACACAGCCGCAGGAGATGATTTTGCTGCGTTTGCGGCTGACGAGGATGACGTAACTGCTATCCCGGGAGACGATGATGATGTCTACACGGCTGCAGAAGATGTTCATGATCTTGCCGCGACTGTAAAACAGTGATGATGATTCAGTAATTGAGAAAGATATTTCAGATTTTGCAGTGATCTCAGGATACGACGATTATCACAATATTACTTTGAGTATACTAAGCAAGTATTACTTTGAGTTCAAATCTAAATTATGTGAGTGGTTGATAAGCAATCCTTTCTATGGCATCCATGAATTTCTTAAAACAGAAGTTGATATTGAATTTTGATGTGTATCTACATGATCCATATTCTCTAGACATGTCATATGTTAATTATCTAAGTATTTTTTAAACATTGAATTTTATTTGTTAATTTGGAATGTTTTGTATGTGTTTTGACTATGTCTATTCCTTTGTACAAAGAAAGGTCAATGGCAATAAAACTCTTGATTCTTGAGTAGGGTTGGACTGAAAATATCAGGCTATCACACCTCTATAGTACCTTAAAATGGTAGTTATTTGATGTGATAAGAAGGGTTTAAACTTGGAAATTGGCTTTGTTAGAATGTTTCATTGCTGAATTCCTTTTTTACTTGAAAAACACCCTATCAGCCTGCCTAAAAAATATGTACAGTAATAGAAAAATATAATGACAGGGGTTGGTTTAGTATAACCAATCAATTCAGAAAACTTGGTAAAACTATTTAAAACATCGTATTGGTATTGAGAATTGTTTTTTTAGGTATCAGTATCCAGAATTGGTAGATTTTGATTGACACATTAAAAATGTCATAAAATATTTTCTACACTTCTGCTACAAGCTACAATATGTATTATTTTGATTTGAATGTGTTTTGTTTGGTTATTTGTGTGTTTTTTTTTTACAAATAATTTGTATTTTCTTAATCCCTGAAGTTTTGTGTGACCAACCTATACTAATGCAAAATACTGTTAAATTAAAATATGGATATTTTGTTTTAAAAATTAAAAAATAAGAAGTCTATCCTAAAAATTTAAAATAAGGTACCGATGGTACCAGAACGGAGAACCAAGAATCGATTTTGAAATAGTGGTACCGACCCATCACTACATCAGGGTTTGTGTTCTTGGAACACCCAGTTAAGAAGGACAGCACGGTCCAAGGTCCATTGCTCATGTATCTTCTTCATTAAAAAGACTTAGTTCAACCCCCCAGGATCTTAGTTTAACCTTTAGATGCTTCCCAGATCAAATACTGGCACTAACATGATATCCATGAAAAAGTGTTTGGTTTAACTATCTTTAGGTTACATGTTTTGTATGTTCTACTGGAAGTAGGAAAAAAATCTGTATTCTTGTTGAAACGGCCAAATTTACATAGCCACAACACAAGGCGTAAGCATGAAATTGACATTTCCTTTTGTAGATTGACCAAAGCAGCCAAAAGCTCTAAAGTTATTGGGCTTAAAATACGCTTCCTCAACATGTTAAAAATATTGAATCCTTTGCTTATTTTAAAACTGTCGTATCAAATGGTCTTTAAAGCACCCTCTTTATTCTGTTCAAGAATTTAAATTTAAATGACATGCATAAGGTCCACTATGACAATGTTCATGAATCTCGTTATTGTTTTTTTTTTTTTTTTTTAGTTTATAGCTTTAACAACGTCTAACAAGCAACTGTGTCTATAATGACTATAAAGGGTTCTTATTCTTATTTTTAATGTATCCTCCTCGTAACATTTTAGGACCTTGTTAATTTTTTAATTTGAAGTTATTTTCAATTTTGGAATTCCTGTTCTGAATTACTGTAACTTTTACCGTAGGGTCCTGTGAAGAAGATGAAAGCCGTCCCTCTGTGGGAGATCAGGTTGGCTGCTCAGATAACTGCCATCGCAGGCAAGAACCCCCAAGAGAAGGTACATTCCCAGGGCAGAGTGCTTGGTGACCGTAGTGTGCTCTACAAGTACATCAACCCCAACCTGGTGGCTGTGCTCACACAGATAGAAGACCCTCTGTTCAAAAGTAATTTAATTTACCCCAATAGTTAATATTTTTATTAGTTTCGCCCCAGTAAGTGCTGATCTTAAATTATGTCATTGGCCATAAAGGTCCCAGCTAAAGAATCTGCTGGACACAAAGTTAGATTAAACTAGATTTAGGCCTATATGACGTTGACACAAAAGGTTGCATATTTTAAGGCACAGACAAGTAAAGGATGTGTGGTTAATGCATGAGAACAGATTTTTACTGACTAAGAAGAACAAAAGTACAATGTTTGAGGATAGCTATGTCCAGTTTCAAACCATCAAAAACTTGTGACAATCTGGCAACCCTCTGATTCCCAAGCAAGCATTATATTTAATGAGCTGCCCAGTTATTCAGCTTAGTTAGCAAAATTAGCCATGATGCCCATCCTGCACTCATAATTAATTCATACTTGGTTTACAAAAAAGCTGTTTACCCATTTTAACATAGTGATGGGAGTTTTAAAAGTGTTGTGTTTTAAAGTATATGCTCTCATTAAAAAAGCTGGAAACTCAGTTTGCAAGTTCACTAGATTGTGTACTGAAAAGTTTCTTTTTCAATTAGAGAATAACTGCCTTTATGTTTTAGTTGAGGCATACTGGTTAAAAGTACTTGTTATTTCAAGTAAAAAACTACTTGTTCCAGCTATATATAGTGTACCAGTGCACCTCTCTCTTACCATTAAATCACTCAAAAAGCCTCTGTTTGTTGTTTCAATCAACTGCACTATGTCTTTTAGTTCCATGTTTGTTATATTAACATAAATGTTACCAAAACAATTTAAAAATTTACTCGACCTATGAAATTAGTTTTGATATAAATATCTAAAGATATTAAGTTTTTTTTATGCACATTTTAAGTAAACCTCATTAATTGCTCAAATATTTAACTTGATCAACTACGCAAAATTTGTGACTTAATCAGCTGTTTTTGCATCCACAACAGATGTGCTGAGTGTGTACCTGATTGACGTGGTGAGTGGATCTGTGGTGTTCTCCGTGGTACACAAGCGTGCCCTAGAACCCATCCATGTAGTACACTCAGAGAACTGGGTCATATACAGCTACTTCAGCGACAAGAGCAGACGTACTGAGGTCAATGCTTTTGATCTCTATGAGGGAAAGATTCAGAGCAACACTACAGGTATAGGGTATAGTAACACCACAATCACGGGGTTATAGTTTTGAGCCGTGACTATTTCCACCGGGCGAATGTCACGACTCATGATCAATGGTTCAAGTGTTTTTTTTATAGTAGGCTAGTTCAGTGTTTCGTTAGTCTGGGTGCAGGCACGAGGGCATGGTTCATCTGGTAGCAGAGCGTGGTTCCGATCCACGGACCTCTGGGTTATGGGCCCAGCTCTCAATGTACACCAAGAGATCGTCGAGGTAATTGAACACAAACTTGAACTTGACATCATGAAAGATGGAATCAAGGAGTCTGGTGAGAGTCTGGGCCCCCACAGCAAGACCCATCGGAACTCTTGTGAACTGATACAAATTCCACGGAACGCAGAAAGCAGTGAGAGGTCGAGACTCAGGTTTCAAAGGAATCTGATGATAGGCCTGATTCAGATCAAAAACAGAAAAATACTTGGCCTTACCGAACCAATCAAACGCAGAATGCAAATCGGGGAGAGGCACAGAGTCGATTTCAATTTGCGCATTCAATTTGCGATAGTCCAAAACCATTCGGGACTTGCCATTGGGTTTTGGGACGAGAAAAGCTGGACTAGCGTAGCTCGAACGGGAAGGTTCAATGACACCATTTTCCAGAAGTTCGTCAATGATTTTTCTGAGAGTTTCCATTTTGGGTGGAGCTAATTTGTATGGGTGAGAGCGAACGGGACGGGTATCTGTTAGACGAATCTCGTACTCTAACAGGTTAGTGACTCCAAGCTTTGGCGTCAGCACATCTGGGAAACGAGAACACAAGGTTCTGATGGCTTCAGCCTCGCAAGTAGTCAGATGCCTTAACGGATCAATTGTTGGCTTGCTGGGTATCTCAGGCTCGACTACCGCAGCACCACCACCAATTTCATCAGCAAAAGATATTAATACCCGCCTCGCAAATCGGAAAAAACACTGACCTCTGCCTAAATCCAAAATTAGGCCAGTGTGCTTGATAAAATCCGCTCCCAAAATGACAGGGAAACAAAGGTCCTTAGCCACCCAAAAACTCCAAACCCAAGAAAAATGTTCAATTTTGAACTTGAAACGGGCTTCATAGATGATGGGAAGGAGTGAATTTGACGCAGTCCAGCAGATAGGGGTTTTTCGCTCAACTTGCTTGATAAGCCCAGACGATTCAAGTTTTTCAAAAAGGGACAAGGAAATGAGGCAACGGGCTGACCCAGAATCCACTAGGGCCTTCTGCACCGTGGAACCTATGAAGATGTTGAGACGTGGGCAAGTTGAGCGCGCCGCTTTCACGCCCATGGAAGCAAGGCCCGCAATCCCCCGCAGCAGAGGCTCGGTCACAGGCACAACACTCCCAGAAGGGGAGGCAACAGAAACATTAACTGACTTTAACTTAGACTTAGACTTACTTGAAAAAACTTTCAGATTATTGCCCTTTACATTATCACCAACAACCTCACAGGAAGGATTGGGCAAATTTTCCTCCTGTGAGCAAACTAGTTTTTTGGACCACGTCCAAAATTTCCACCTTGACGGCAATGCCGCCGAATGTGACCTGGTTGCCCACAACCAAAACAAACAACAGGTTGCCTCTGCCACTGCGGCGGTTCGGGACCCAACCCCACGGGTGCTACGACAGCATGATGACCAGCTAGGGGAAGATGCCCCGCCGCTTGGTCTCTCTGAAAATCAGCGTCCTGGACAGATCTCGAAAGGATGGAAAGTCTGTCCAGATCCGCAAAAGATGAAGGCCGTGGTGCAAAAACCAGACGGGAGCGTTCCTCAGGCTTCAACCCCTGAAGCACAATGTCAATGAGCTCAAGCTCACTGATCCCCAAACGCAAGACCCTTTCCACCGTGCGAATGTCCCCCACGTACTGGCTGAGAGACTCGGCTGGCTGCTGAGGACGAAAAACTCTCTCAACTTTCAGCTTCTCCATGACCCGACGGGGCATGAAAAGCTCCAAAACTTCTTTATGAAAAACATCAAAGGTGACGCCTCTGCGCAAACAATCAAGCAATCTGTCCCCCAACGGTTTCAGACAGTATTGTTGAGGCTGAATTGTTGAGCCGTGACTATTTCCACCGGGCGAATGTCACGACTCATGATCAATGGTTCAAGTGTTTTTTTTATAGTAGGCTAGTTCAGTGTTTCGTTAGTCTGGGTGCAGGCACGAGGGCATGGTTCATCTGGTAGCAGAGCGTGGTTCCGATCCACGGACCTCTGGGTTATGGGCCCAGCTCTCACTGTACACCAAGAGATCGTCGAGGTAATTGAACACAAACTTGAACTTGACATCATGAAAGATGGAATCAAGGAGTCTGGTGAGAGTCTGGGCCCCCACAGCAAGACCCATCGGAACTCTTGTGAAATGATACAAATTCCACGGAACGCAGAAAGCAGTGAGAGGTCGAGACTCAGGTTTCAAAGGAATCTGATGATAGGCCTGATTCAGATCAAAAACAGAAAAATACTTGGCCTTACCGAACCAATCAAACGCAGAATGCAAATCGGGGAGAGGCACAGAGTCGATTTCAATTTGCGCATTCAATTTGCGATAGTCCAAAACCATTCGGGACTTGCCATTGGGTTTTGGGACGAGAAAAGCTGGACTAGCGTAGCTCGAACGGGAAGGTTCAATGACACCATTTTCCAGAAGTTCGTCAATGATTTTTCTGAGAGTTTCCATTTTGGGTGGAGCTAATTTGTATGGGTGAGAGCGAACGGGACGGGTATCTGTTAGACGAATCTCGTACTCTAACAGGTTAGTGACTCCAAGCTTTGGCGTCAGCACATCTGGGAAACGAGAACACAAGGTTCTGATGGCTTCAGCCTCGCAAGTAGTCAGATGCCCTAACGGATCAATTGTTGGCTTGCTGGGTATCTCAGGCTCGACTACCGCAGCACCACCACCAATTTCATCAGCAAAAGATATTAATACCCGCCTCGCAAATCGGAAAAAACACTGACCTCTGCCTAAATCCAAAATTAGGCCAGTGTGCTTGATAAAATCCGCTCCCAAAATGACAGGGAAACAAAGGTCCTTAGCCACCCAAAAACTCCAAACCCAAGAAAAATGTTCAATTTTGAACTTGAAACGGGCTTCATAGATGATGGGAAGGAGTGAATTTGACGCAGTCCAGCAGATAGGGGTTTTTCGCTCAACTTGCTTGATAAGCCCAGACGATTCAAGTTTTTCAAAAAGGGACAAGGAAATGAGGCAACGGGCTGACCCAGATTGAATAGGGCTGGCCTTACCGTGAATCCTGACAAGGTTAGTTTTGCAAAGCCGGAAATTTAGTTCCTTGGTCATCTTATCTCTCATAGAGGCGTCTGCATCGACCCCGCTAGAACCCAGGCTATCAGGGAGTTTCCTCCTCCCAGAGATGTCAAGGGTATTGCTAGGTTCATCGGCATGGTAGGTTTTTACCGACGCTTCATACCCAATGTTGCTGAATTGGCGGCTCCTCTCAATGAGCTTCGGAAGAAGGGCGCCAAGTTTGTCTGGGGTGAAGCGCAGCAGACGTCTTTTGACCTTCTCAAGGAGGCTATCATGCAGCCCCCTGTTTTGGCGATGCCGGATTTCAATCAAAACTTTGTCTTGCAAACAGATGCTTCCTCCGTCGCAATTGCGGCTGTGTTGTCACAAGAGGTGGATGGTGTTAGGCAGCCAATTGCGTACGCCTCACGCACTTTGAGTCCCTGCGAAAAGAAAAGCTCTTCTGTGTATGAACTCGAGTGTTTGGCTGTCGTGTTTGGAGTCAATAAATTCAGACGCTTTTTGGAGCACAAGGAGTTTTTATTGGAAACCGACAACCAGGCACTCTCGTGGCTTCTTGCACATCCACGCCAGCTTGGGAAAATTGGTCGTTGGGTTGTCCAAATATCGTCCCTTAAGTTCCAAGTGCAACACGTTCGAGGCACTCAGAATGTGATTGCGGACACACTATCTAGGATGTACCATTCACCCGACGATCCTCCTTCTGACCAAGAGCAACCGGGTTGTGCCGTGCTCTTGGAGTTTCCACTCGCCTTTTCTGATTTCATTCCCCATCAGCTGAAGGATCCTGAGCTGGCAAAGATCATTGGTGAGCTTCAAAATGGGGGAGCCCACCCCCCATATTTTCTGTCCCAGGGTGCCCTTTGCTGTCGCGCTCGGCAGCGAGGTAAACCTAAAGTTGTGCTGCCTAGTCTTCTAATCCCTATGGTCTTTGAGTATTTTCATTCTTCTCCTGTGGGTGGGCATCTAGGTATCCACAAGACCATTGCGAAGGTTAGGGAAATGTTCATCTGGAAGGGTATGGATCGGGATCTTGCTGCTAGGGTGCGTTCTTGTCAAACGTGCTCACTGAGCAAGCCCGCTCAAAACTCTAAGTTTGGTTTGTTGTCATCTGAGGTGGCGGAAAGACCTTTGGAGAAGGTTTTCATTGACTATGTAGGGCCTCTCCCGCGTAGCAAGTCAGGAAATAAGTTCCTACTTGTTTGTGTGGATGCCTTCTCCAAGTTTTGTTGGCTTTTTCCCTTAAGGAATGCCACTGCACAGCTCACCGTGCAGGTACTTCGAACACACCTCTTCCAACATTTTGGAATACCCGCCACCATTGTTTCCGACAACGGAACACAGTTTGTTTCCCATCTGTTCAAAAGAATGTGCTTTGGGCACGGAATCCGCCATGTGACTACTTCCCCTTACTATCCACAGCCTTCTCATGCTGAAAGGTTCAATCGCAATCTTCGCTCCGCTCTCATAGCTTTCCATGCTGACAAGCAGACCACCTGGGATCAGGAACTCCCTTGGCTTCAGTTTGCTTTCAATACTGCTCACCATGAGAGTCACAAGGCGGTCCCTTTCGAGCTGTTTCTAGGCTATCCGCCTAACAACCCGTTAGCGAATGTGTGGGGAATTGGCGACCTTCTGCCACCTCCTGGTGCGGCTGATGTCAAGGCAACTTGGCAAGCGGCCAGGAGAAACTTGATCAGAGCTAGGGAATTGGTCCGGAGGAAGCACAATCGTGGTAGAGTAGACAACCCTTTCCAGGTGGGGGATTTGGTGTTTTGTAAAGCTCATCCAGCCAGTTCGGCTGTGGACAAGAGAGCTGCAAAGTTGTGTCATCGGTGGTCAGGTCCCCACCGCATCCTGAGGTTTTTGACGCCTGTCACGGCGGAGCTTGGAGATCCGCGGACTGGAAAAGTGTTCCGGAGGGCGCACATTTCTCATCTCAAGCCCTTCCGCGGAACTCTTCCGTAGGCAATTTTCTTTCCTCTTGTGTCTGGGTGGGAAGTGCACTGGGCCAGAGAACCTGATCACTTCTCCTGTCCCCTGTGTTCTGCGAAGGAATTTCCCTCACAAAATTTTCCAGCTCTGGCCAGAGCAAACCCTGAGGGTGAGTTTTCCCCTCAGTTTGGCAGTCCCTTGGCGTTCCCCACCACAGACACCTGAGTTGTCTTTCAGGTCAATTTCTTTTCAGGAAGTGGGGGAGAGGCTTGTTTGTTTGTCCCTTTTGGAGAGGAGTGTCCTCTTTTGGGGAGGGAGGTTGAGCCGTGACTATTTCCACCGGGCGAATGTCACGACTCATGATCAATGGTTCAAGTGTTTTTTTTATAGTAGGCTAGTTCAGTGTTTCGTTAGTCTGGGTGCAGGCACGAGGGCATGGTTCAGTTTGGTAAAGCGTCTATCAAATAAAATCATAACAAATGTTGATTATTAGGTGAGGATTGGAAAAGAGTGTTTTGAAAATATTTAGATCTTTATAATGGTGTTGGGATCTGAAAATGTTAATTAGAGCCTATCCAAGATGAAATTCCACATCAATGTCTGAATCCAATTGAATGACTTTGTGCCGAAGACAGCCTGTCCTACATCCCACATCAAAGAGAAGGTTTGAAAAAAAATGTCACAGCACCTACTCTTGTAATGGACTTTCGACACAAGTATTAGGTCCCGAAAACAGCTGTTTGCCACCTGCTTAATCAAATGGGATTTTATTAGGAACTTGGTACGGTAATGCATTTTATCATACACCAGCTGATTAAAACCAGTCTAATTTTAGTTACCAAATGCCCAAGGTATCTTATAAACACAAATTGTTATCAATATAGTTCTGGTAAAATTTAAAAATCATATTTAATGAATTTTTTTGCACAGAAACGTTTTTATAATAGTGTTGAAATTCTTAACTTAAAAACAAAACTTAGTTGTTGAAGTAAAAAATATGCACTTTGTGAAGTGTATGTTTCGGTTAGGGCCAACTAACTTTAAACTTACCTTTTGACATAAATAGCTCGAGATGTCCAGGGTTCGCTCCCATTAACCCTAGGACTGCCCTGACCTGATTTATGGTAAAATGCTTGGTGCCCTGGCAATTTTGGTCATTTTTTTACAGTTCACAGTGCCTAATGTACTGTTGATGACCTAGTCGTATTCATATACTTGTTTTGTTCAGAAAAGAAAGGAGATTTAGAATAAAATATAATATCGGGAATCCCTGTTGGTGGTTCTTTTGCAAAATTTAAAAAAATTAAATAAAATTTCAAATTTTTTGAATAATCTTTAAAAGCAGAGGCCTAGCATTTTATACAAAAGTTGTTATATTACTAAAGGTAACAATAAATTTATTTAGAATTATGTCATATTGTACAAAGTGATAACTTTTTTATGACTTTATATGGCTTGAAAAACAAATTTTAGTTATGAGTAGAGGTGTGAGAAGCATTGAAAATTCCGATTTGATTCATTGGCAGTCAAAATAACAATTCAATTCATGCAAAAAAATTTTCAATATTTTTTTTTCTTTGTTCAAGAATAGAATTATAAGCCATATAAACTGTGTCATTGCCTAACCATACAGGTTATTGACATCGTAATATACAGTACTGAGACATCGCATAGCCATGATAAAGGTTACTGACGTAATATACAGTACCATGACATTGCCTAACCATACAGGTAAAAGCTAAAGCATAATAAAGTCATAATATATGTTATATGTTTAAATAGGCACATAAAGGTCAAATACCACATCAACAAAAACTTGCACAACAAAAATCTGATAAATTGTAATCACTCCATTGACAAGTATGAGTAAGAAAATGCCGTGTCGAAAATTCTTTGAATCGAATCGTTGCATCAAATCGAAACATTTTTGCTCCTTTACACACCCCTAGTTATGAGTAGTGATTGTTAAGTCCCTAATTTTATTGGATACACATAACCGATTTTTACACTTTTCCATTATTAGATTAGTAGGGTAGTAATGGCAAAAGAATATTGTACGTTACTCGTCCAAAATTTGTTTACCGTATTCTTATGGTAATCCCACACTTGAGGAAACACTTTCTGGTAAACACCTATTTTCAGTCCTAGTAAAGCTATGGTTCCACAGACTGCGGAATTTCCACCGTGCGGTACGAAATTTTCTGCTGCATAATTACAACAACACTGGTTTAATGGAGTTCCCCTGTGTTCAGTTCCACTAACGAGCGTTTACACGTCTTGAATTCACGGTTCCGCATGGCGGACAAATCATACTAGTCTCAAAGCAGTGGCAGTGCGGAATCCGTCTGCAGAGAGGAGCCAACAATTATTAGACTGTGATGTTATTACAATTTCATTATGAGAGGTGTAAATGAATATTTTTCATCGACCGATGAGGAGGAACTTGTCGAGTTGATGTCTCAACATGATGTGCCGTGGAAGTTGAGTGACCAAGAGTACAAAAACAACAAAAAAAGACGTTATTTGGGATACAATTTGAGAAAAAATTGGGAAAACAGGTAATCTGCTTATCTGTGTATGAGTTAACACCAATAAAGATAAAATATCGACAACATCATCATCAAATCATAAAGTATCAAAGCCACAAGGGATTTCCTCTTCCTATCTATATGATCGTTGCTAGTTTGGACAGAACTGAATTTCCGCAATGTTATTTCGCAGTCAGAGGAACCCCCTTCCGGATTTTATGAGGCGTAATTTCCGCAACAAAAATTTTGCACCGCTCTGCGGGAGTTCAGCAGTCTGTGGAACCATAGCTTAAAGTAATATACTTATAGGTCCTACACATATTTTAATTTTTAACTTTTAAATATTGTTACCCATTGACTGTAGTTCTGAAAAGTCCTGCTACCATTCTTCTGGTTTAGCAGACATTTACTGTCCTGCCTATTCAGGAAGATGTTTGAAAATCAACTAATGCTTACTTTAATACATTATTATTCCTTGAATCACTGGAATTTGGATTATATCGGATCCTCTTATGTACATTATAAATCAGAAACAGTAATTAATTTACATTCAAGTAAAAACTAATGTCAGCAGGTAGATAGAACTTGTTGTGCAATAAACCTTTTACTTGCAAACTATGACACACTTAAGAATTTATGGTGTTCTTTTTTAGCGTTTTCATCTGTGTTAAACCCAATTCAGCCAATGGTCGAGCGTCAGTCTTACATCCTACCGGCCTCCATTGAATCAATGAAGGAGACAATAACAGAAAAAGGCATCACCAGCAAACACATACTAAGTAAGTTTGATGGATTCTGTTTGTTAATATAGTAGTGAATAGCAGCATTAATTTTTCTAAACCATTTGTATAGCTCAAATAATTTATAAATAAAAAACTTTTTTAAAACAAAACGTTTTTAAACGCACTAAAAAGTAGAAAATAATTTTTAAATATGTGGAGATTATAAATACTTGTAAGATTTAAAACGAAAAATGTGGGGTGCATGCAATGGATAATTTACAATTACCTTAACCTATTGAACTAATGTATTATTATCAATTGCATGCACCCCACGTTTTTCGTTTTAAATCTTACAAGTATTTATACTCTTTACATATTTACAAATTATTTTCTACTTTTTAGTGCGTTTAAAAACGTTTTGTTTTAAAAAAGTTTTTTTTTATAAATTATTTTCTACTTTTTAGTTTTTAATGTGTGCGGATGATAAATCTATTTCAAGCATCTATATCAGATTAAGACAGAGGCATGTAGTAAATCTAAGGTTTATTTGAGTTTCTTTTCAAATAATTATGTATTAGATTGAATGTATGGCCTACCTACTAACCATAAACATAGAATAACCTCTACCTTTTAACCTCTCGTCTTTGAACTGTCAAATTTAAGTATTTACAGCTGACTTAAATTAATTGATATATTTACATTCTTTCAAAATGTAAACATGGAAAATTTGGAAGCCCATGGGGCGTAGCCCAAGGGAAGTATGAAAATTAAATCATATAATATTGCATTGTCATCCATTTGTGAGCTATGTTTCAAATTTCAAGTCTCTAGCTCATCGGGAACTTTGTTTAAAATTGATATCAAAATTTGTAGGAAAGCGAGCTAATAAAAACAAAAAAACAATCCCATGGGGCGTAGCCCAAGGGAAATATGAAAATTTAATTATATAATATTGCATTGTCATCCATTTGTGAGCTATGTTTCAAGTTTCAAGTCTCTAGCTCATCGGGAAGTATCAAAATTTGCAAGAAAGCGAGTTAATAAAAACAAGCCCATGGGGCGTAGCCCAAGGGAAATATGAAAATTAAATGATATAATACTGCATTGTCTTCCATTTGTGAGCTATGTTTCAAGTTTCAAGTCTCTAGCTCATCGGGAAGTTAGTATAAAATTGATTGCAAAATTTGTACCGGACAAGAAAGCGAGCTAATAAAAACGTTTTAAAAAGTAAAACATTTAGTACATTGAGTCATATGTATAATACTGCGGTGGGGGTATTTTTAAGTGGTACTGGCTCCTGAACAAAATCAATTCTCAGTTCTCGATGCCAGGACTATGCCTAACAAAATTACTTAATAGTGATTTTAATTTTAATATTTATAATGTAAAAAAAAAAATATAAAAGTCAACTGCAAACATTAATATTGTTATTTATGATACTTATAGCTAACAATAATGTTGAAGAAATGTGTTGGTTACCTACATATAGCTATCTTCTAATTTAATAATTTATGCGTGTGTATTTGTGGTTGGTGTTTTTAGGAATAGAGAGCTGGTAGTTTAAAAAGTATTGGTTTTAAAGGTTGAGTATTTTAGTCATTTTCAGACTGTCTAGATCTTTTTCCTGTATGAACCGAAGTACCAGTGCTGACTTTTTAAAATCAAACTTGATATCAGTAGTACCAAAAACCAGTGGTACCAAAAACCGTCTCTAAGTACCACCATATCATTAATCACAATACATTCTGTGATTAGTTTTATATGCTTATGGGTGTGTAAGTTGATAATAAACTCATCATATCTATGTACAGTGGCCCTCAACAGTGGAGGAGTGCTGGAGCTTCCGTGGATGTTGCTAGACCCTCGTCGACCACTAGCCTCCACCCCAGATCTCCGAGAGGAAGGTGTGATCCCCTACATGCCTGAGCTGCCCACCCTGCCCGAGGCTATAATCAACTATAACCAGACGTTGTTGAGAGTGCGTGGCATCCACACGTCACCCTCTGGGCTGGAGTCCACATGTCTAGTCTTTGTTTATGGTCTCGGTAAGCTTACTTTTCATGTAACAATGTATATTCAATTTACCAAAGAGGGAAATGTAAATAATAAAACCAATTGACAGAACCTTGTATAATTTGTGTTTCTCGTTGTGCAGATATGTTCTACACAAGAGTAGCTCCTTCAAAGACATTTGACATGCTGAAGGAGGATTTTGACTATATCTTGATCACAGCTGTGCTGGTTGGCCTCACTGTCTCTGCCTTCATGACCAAGAGATTAGCAGCGAGAAAAGCACTCAAGCAGGCGTGGAAATAGCTGAGACATTCCACAGGTTATACGGTCTTCATTAAATTCTTGTATGCATTTCATCCATTATTTATTCATTGTAAAATCCACTATTGGGAGATTTTCAACACCTAACATTTAAATCATTGCTGAATTACTTGAAGTATAACGTTGTTACCAGATTGGTGTCTCTGTGATTTACCAGATTTGTGTCCACTGATTGATTTTTTTACACCTATTTCAGCTGATTGAATATCACAAGTTTATTGTTTATCATGAATATCATCATTAAATATAATGTAAAGATTGTAGTGAGAAAAATAAATGTTTGTTACTAAGAATTGTTATTGTTATTTTTCCTGCAGTGTTCGATTAAATTTATTTATAGTAGTATTGTTTTTCATATATTTATTCTCTGTTAATTTTTGTTGTTGCCATTTTGTTACCGGTAGATTTACAAATTTTATACCGTACCTTGTTATGTTTGAATATGCTGTATTGTAGCACTAAATTTAAGACTGTGATCAACATCTTGGGAACTAATTTATGTTTTAGAATAATTAAGGACTGACAATCATTTTTTAAGAAATCAAGACGAAGCACCTGTACATGTGATTTTCACAAATTTGTATGTTATGTGCAAATAAATCATCATTATCATTATCATTAGTATATAACCATTGACTATACACCTGTATAGTCAATGATATAACGCTACCATCGATGTATAAAACTCCCTGGATTGCGCGCTCAGGTTGAAGTAGGGCTCGAAAAACGGTCCGTCGCTACCTCGCTCTGTCCGCGAGGAGTGGGGATAAAGGCATGAGTCACCCTAGTGGCGAGCGTCGCGCCCGCTCTCGCCGTGTATTGCTATGTTAGTTTTGTGGAAATATTCCGAGGATAATTTATTGTAATGAACTTAAGGAGGTTTTATAAGCAGATATAATTAATCTACGTACTTGCTCACACTTTATAGACTATGTGTCAAAAGTAAATATCATAAGAAATGTAGTGGTGATATGAAATAGTTAGATTTATTTATATTTGAACATTAACCAGAGAAAAGTATATCACAATAATTATTTGATCACATATGCATGTCATCATTTGCTTCGGTGAAGCCCAATTATTATTGAGAGACTGTGCATCATTTAAGAATATATATTTTGTTTATATTATAATACAGTATGTTTCTTTGTCATACTGTGATTAACGTGTTTGGAAATAATATTATGTTGCTAAATAAAATGAATGTGTGATATTTAATGCCAATATCTCAAATGTATTCGTTATTCTCACTGAAGTAAAATAATAACAAAATATTTTTTTAGGTATTAAATACTACAGTGAAATCCAACATTTATTCTTTGATTCAAAGAATTTTGTTAACTATAGACTTACCGCATTAAAATGCATAAACATACGCCTGTAAATTAAGTTACCATTCTTCGTAATGTAATGACATATTTGATGTAATATAATGATAATGAAATGCTAGAAACTCAGTTTCTATATCCCGTAAACTGATGCTGAGCCGGCCGAGCTCCTTGCGCCAAGCGATTTTATGCCTATTTTTAATCGCTTAAAAATGATACAAGCAGGCTCCGTATAAAAAAAAGCTTCAAATAAAAAATAAAATTCATACTTTGATCTAAAACTTTGCCGCAGGAATTTTTTTCCTGACCAAAAAATAAAAAAGTTCCTCGCTTACTACATATTTCATGTTTTTAATGGTGTTAAAAAACAATCATCTGTTTTAATTTGCCTAAATAAATTATAAAAAATATGTTAGTGTAAAAACTAACTACATAGTATTGAGCACCGGTTTTTCCAGAAAAATAATATATCAATTTGAAATTTTTATGTTAACAAATAAGTGTAGCAGAGCAGGTTGAGTGAATGTATGTTTGTGTAAAACAGAGAGGTTCATTCGGCCCGTCCGCCTCGGTATCCCGCCAATTCGACTGGTGGGCACGGACCGTTTTTCCACCACCTAGCGCGCTATCCAAGTTATTATACATCGATGAACGCTACAAGCCTGGGAAGTAGACCCAGGTGTTCCTTTACGGTGATAGCATGATAGCATGAGGATTTTATGCGAGTAACTTAAACCTCTTTCTGGGTGAGTTCTGAGTTGTGTACGATATTTTTTGCCATACCAGCTACAAGTTTTTATGCTAATTTAAAAATCTAGACAACAAACCCTTACTAATATTTAGAGATGGGCCGATACCAAAAATTGTCAATACCGATACCACCAAAGTACTCTCGATACCTATCGATACAGATACTTTCTGATACCTATCTTTTTTGCACAGTTTCTTCCACTAATATTATAAACTGTTATACCATAAAAAACACAATATGTATGTGTATCAAACTTATATTTTGGTGTTAAAGGTTTATTATTAATTGCAAAAAACAATTGCAAAAATATGGAACTAAGTGTTTATTTTAAAATAGGCCTACTGTAAATGTTTGAATTTGAATAAAACATAAGATTTAATAAAGTTTCCTCTAATTTATAAATAGGCTTGTATAAGTATTTATCTGTCACTTGTCAGTTTTTGTATTTATTTGAAATTGCATCAATTGTCTTTAGTTAACTCATTAAGCTATAAATTTTAAAAAAGATTATGTACATCTTGGCCTACAAATACTCTGCAAGTTTTTTTCCCCCCCTAAGAGAGTAAAAACGAACCTATATAATGACAGTTTCTCACTAGTTGTATGAAAAACAGTTATATATGTTAAAAATTTGTTTAACTATGAAAAAGTCACCAAATCTAGCTGAAAACACATTCATAAATGAGGATATTTTAAAAATACAGAATAACTAATCGAACAACCTTTTTATTTTTAACACTTTTATTTCTTAACTTTTCTTCCTTGAAAATGTCAACAGTTTTTCACTTATTTTTAATAAAGATTATCACTTATAATTTCTCGAAAGAAATCTACGTGTGAGCTATGAAGAGCAGACAAGAGACATACGTCACTGCCACAAAAACTATTCTATGAACTTGAAATGTCAACAGGCATATGTAACTGTTGTTACATACTTTTATTGTCAACATTCACCATTCGTTATAACATTACAAAATCTACATGGACTAAGGCTTATGATATTTTTCAATAAATGCATTGTGGCATAGTAGCACTTAAAACTTCACTAAACTCTTTAACCAGGTAGATAGTACAGATAAATATGGACCTACTTTTTGGCGCAATATAAAGCAAGCCTAACCATACGACGATGACGATGTTAAAGTTTAATCGTTGAATATAATTTTTCTAATGATGCGTATAATGGTATAATCATAGACAAAAAGAATGGTATAATGCAGGGAGGAAACTGAACATTTCGACGTGTTTAGGTTATTTATTTTGTACTAAAAATAAAAATAATACATCTAAATGTCTGAATTATTGATACAGACATTGTTTAGTATAATTAATTTCGTGTTGGCAGGACATTCGCGCGCCGGTTGTCTCGTGAGTTGAGTCTGACATCTTGAAGTAGATTGTGTTGTGTTGTGCAATGAGCTGTTACCTGCGATACCTCGATACCGCTGGTATCGAGAGTATTTTGGTATCGAGTATCGGTATCGGCCCACCGCCCACCTCTACTAATATTACTATAGTTTATCATCATAAAACCAAACTTTACTTTTCAAGATAAGCCAAGTGTCTTTTCACTTTAGATTTAGCTATTTTAGAACAAGAAAAAAATATCTCTAACCGGTGATTGTACGGCAGCCCCTCAGGGAACACCATACACAGACATAATGATCGACTTGGGCTATTTTATCTGGCTCTTCCGGAACTATAAGAAATGGGATAATAGAGGTTTGTAACAGGTTTTACACTTGAGGAGTTAAACATTCACAAGGTCCCAAAACAGGAAACCAGTGTTCTATTGAGTGAGAAATGAAATTGTTGCTCACATTTATTACTTAATAAAAATAATTTAAACATTCCAAGGTACAAAAGGTAACTTTATCACAGTTCTGTTATCCTTAGTGTTCTTCAGCTGGCTCCTGTGATGGTATTATTAAATAGTACAGTTGTCCATGAGAACACTGTATCTGTGATTTATGAGTGTAACATGTCTGTGTGTGTGTGTGTACAAAGCCCCCTGATTGACTTTTGTTGAAAAGCTTAATTTCTTGACAATGACACATCTTGATGCAACAGGTGTTGAAACCTTGGTTGTAGTAAATAATAACTAGATTGGACTGAGGGAAGGTGAATTAATCCAATATATCAGTTCCTGGGCAAGCCGTAGTGAGACAAATATTAACAGCCGTTGAAAGGTAAGTATATTTCAATTCTCAGAAAATATAAAATAGAACTTGTTATTATGCTATAATAATAATGTCTTTATTTAGCAAGCGTTTTTCAGATACAATATTTCTGCTTTTCAAAACAACTCTTGTCCTTCATAATAATAAACTATTCATAAAAACTAACTATAAAACAATATATAAAGAATCTATGAAAACAATGTAAAACAATCCATACCAACAATCTATTTAACATCTTAAAATAATAAAAATTCTATAACAAACATTACTTAAAATAACCAGAATCTGCAATACTTAGGACTAGACCAATTAAGAATAAAAACATACATTTACTTTAGACAACTACTTTTAGTAAACAAATATTCCTTTAACCTTTTTTTAAAAGTGTTCAAAGAGTTGGCCCTTATTACTTGATCGGGGAGAGCATTATACATGGTAGGGCCGAAGTATGAGAAGGCGCGCCTCCCCACTTCATGTCTGACTCTAGAAAAGTGCAACAACTTGTCCTGTCTCGTGCTGCGGACAGAGACATCTCGGCGAGAGAGAAGTTTCTCACACAGGTACTCAGGCTGGCCGTGCTCTATAGCTTTACATATCAGGCTGCAGGTTAGGTATATACAATTATCTTTAATTTGCATAATGTTTGCAGCTTTTCTGTAAGGAGTTATGTGATCTCTTCTCGTGCAATTATAAATAAATCTAATTGATGCATTTTTTAGTCGTTGGATTTTATTTAGGTCGCCTTTTGTAATGCTATTTCCGTATGCTGGAAGACAATAATCAAAAACTGACAATACCAAGGCCCTTATTAGTTTTATTTTGGCGTTCTCAGGTAAAATTCCTTTCAATCTATATAGACCTCGCAGCCGGCCAAGGGCTCACTGACACATGAGGTTTACATGGTCAGTTAGCGTCAGGTCTTCGTCAAGAATTACTCCTAGCGTTTTTAGTTTCTCGCATATATTGATGACTGTCCCATTTATTTTAATTTTACTGACCATGTCTTGCATAATTTCGTTTAAAACGTCTTGCGG